TAGGATGCTTGTAAAGTGCTTCTGGAGAGTGGGGGAGCAAAAAATGGCCCATTTTTTTGTGAAAATGGGCCCATTTTTTGCCAAAAAAAGAGGCATGAATAGCCTTTAGGAAGCTTATAGAGTACTCCAGGGGGCTGGGGGGGGGGATTGAGAAAAAAAACGGCCTGTTTTTCGCTCATTTCTGCTCTCCCCAGCCCCCAGGAGCACTCTGCAAGGCTCCTAAAAGCTCTGCATGGCCTTTTTGGTGAAGGGGATGAGGTATAAAACGCATCCAGATTTTCAGCCTCTTTTTTAAGGGAAAAGGTGTGTTTTATACTCCGAAAACTAACAGTAAATAGTAAACAAATGAGAATTGGTAGATAGCATAAAATACTATTAAATATTTGGGCAATTTTAAAAAAAGTACCTCAGAAAGAACAAAATATAGTTGTCATATATAATGTATACATATTATGCAAGAATAAGTAAAACAGATTTATAGATCATAGAAATGTCCTGTATTGTTTTTGTGTTATGCTGTTTTAGAAAGTGGGATAAAACTTTTTATAAACCCAGCCAGATACCCATGCCCAGTATAAAATCTTATTGGAGAGGTCTTATAAAACATGATCTGAGCTAAACTTTTTAAATGGTTGGAGGCTGTGTTAAAGAGTTAAGTATTTTATATGAACACAGAACAATGCTTTGCTTGCCCCATTGCAAATACAGAGTAAATTCATTTGGGATTAGATGGCATCATCCAGCATTCTATTTGCATGCATTTATTGCTTTGCAAACTGTAAGAGAAATTATAAGTTTTGCACAGTACGGTAGTCCAAGAATGTCATGTAACTTCTACTGTTTAATCGTTTTATGATAAATGATGACATGCAATACAGACAGTGATTGAGACTGTAGCATGGTTATGTAAATATTGTACTATATTTTTTAAAAACATGCTAAATTTGGCTCAACATTTATAATTACTTGGTTTGTTGGTTTATTCAATTTGTATAACCATTTCTTTCACTGACTCTTGGCAGTGAACAATTTATGTTGTTGCATGGAAATTCTGAATTTGTGGTTTTTGCATTGCTTTGTATACAGAATATTTTTCTTCTCTTTAGGGTATTTTCTGAAACAGGAAGGTTTCTTGTAGTTCTTTTTGCTCTGAATCATAAAGATCCAAAGTTTTATGAATGCTTGCCTTATGATGGGCGTACTGAATTAGATTTCCAGCTACTTACATGCAAAGAAACATTACATCTGTTCAAAGTAAGTTGCTTGACTTCCTGTCATGCTGGATATGAAATAGCATGGCCCTACTTTGTTTATAAGATCAAAATATCAAGAACTAGAATGCATATATATTCAAATTGTGAAATGGTATTGTTTATGGCTTCCAATCTCCTTAACACTCCAGTAAAGACAATCTTTAGAAATTTTAAATAGAACTTTCTTCCAAAAGTAACAGCTGCTATTTAAGTTTCACCACGAAGGAACAAATTTAGGATTAAGACTGAGGGTAGATTTAAATTATTACTTAACCTGAGATATTTACCCTTGAGTTAATCATTCTTTTTATCCTAATCTATCTTGTAGGCTTAAAAAGAAAATAATATAGGTGGAGAATTAGCAACTACCAGATTTTTGTGTGAAGAAAAAAAAAAGAAAAAATATGGGATCTGAAAAGAATAGTTTAGTTTTTTTTATTTCAAGACTAATCATAAAAGATGTTGGGCCAACCAGATCTTAGAAAAATTGCATTTTGAATATTTTACATATTCTAAAAGGTTTAACGATTGCTTTTACTGAGCCAAACTGAAAACTAAGTTTGTGGGATTCTTGCTGTTGATGAAAAGGGTAAATAATTGTTCTCAATTTGGAAAGATTAATAGATAGTTATTTTAACTATCTTGCATCATTTTTCTGATTACCAGCATAGTAATTATTTCTGCTGTAGAGAACAACTTAAGAAGATTGGGAAGCAAATAAAAATACTTCAGTACCTCTATAATATACCTAATATGATTGTTAGAAAATTGCAGCAATAATGTTCTTTAACTTTTTACTTCTGGCGTTCTCTATAGTAGTCATGAATCCCCTACATATAGGTACAAAAATCTTTCAGGCAATAAATACTCAGCACCACTATTGTTCCTGAAATGAATGATGTACAGAGGTGCACTTTTGTTGTGACTTGACTGTCCGGCTTAGTATCTATATCTATTTCATTTCAGGAAGTAGAACCTTCAGATAAATACCCTATCCAGTTTGAACTGAACTCACAAAATATAAATGCAGAAACAGAATTCTTCAGCAAAATTTCAAAAAACATTTCCCTAAACAAGTGAGTCATTTGTAAAATTCTCCTTGCAAATAATCTGTAATGTTTATTTGCTTCAGTACAATTCAATCACTTCCAAAGTTTTTACAGTATCTTGCATCAATAAAGATTTTCAATAGGAATAATTAGTAGGTATCAGTTCCTGTCTGCTGCCTTGTGAAATATATCTTTCAGAAAAGTAGGAGATAAGACAAGATAAGACAAGACACAGTATAGGTGGTACCTTTCTCAGTAGTAGTAACTGTGAGAGGGATCTTGGAGTCCTAGTTGGCAACCATTTAAATATGAGCCAGCAGTGTGCAGCAGCTGCCAAAAAAGCCAACACAGTTCTAGGCTACATAAACAGAGGGATAGAATCANCAACCCTGAGCCGGTGAGATTTGAACCGCTGACCTGCTGATCTAGCAGTAGCCTGCAGTGCTGCTTTTAACCACTGCGCCACCTTGGCTCTATAAGGCTAGAGCCAGCCTTATATAAGATATAAGGCTAGCTGGTTGACTTTGGGTCACTTGCTTTCTCAGGCCTAGAATGAGGCAATTCTAGGATTACATCACTACGACAGCTGTAAAGATAATTTAAATGTTTGGTCCTTCAGTCAGAAAATGTGGGTGGTTTTTATTTTTCTGGGTAGATTTTTTAAAATCTTTTTAACCATTTGAAAGCTGCTGGAATTGTTTTCATAGGATGATGGCAATGTTAAATGCATTAATTAATATGTGAAACTGCCACTTGCCTGACTTCTCCATTTCTAAGAGTAATTTCCATCAATAACTTAATTAATACATTGTTCTATTCCTTTTGGGTAAAATATATGCACTGACCATTTTTGTTTCAGAAGAGTACTGAAAAAAAATTACACAAAATTGTTCTCTTAACATTGTATGTATAGTCTATTGTGTGAAGCTTGTACATTTCTCTTACATATAAAATATGAAGAATTCATTCCTGTGTTTATCTCCTTTATTTGCTACTTCTCTGGCAAAAGCTTTTTGCTAGTTTGGAAATCTCTTTCATTTCTTTAAAATCATTTTTTTCTTTGTAAAAGAAACCTCATTTGTTTTACTTGCAGTTATCTTTCAATGGATCAAACAAGGAAACTTCTACTAATTCTGGAATCAGACCCCAAAGCATGCACATTACCACTGATTGGCATGTAAGTATTTAGGTGATGAGCTATTTTCCATAAAAAGTTTCTTGATTTGAATTTGTATTAAAACAAATATTTGCAGTACATTTGCAGATTACCTCAGATATTCAGTCCATATTTTATTTCTATATGATATGCAAGTGTTGTAATATGAGTGTTCAGAAATATCTTTCCTTGTCTATTCCTCTAGTTGGTTGAGTGGATTAGTTCACATTCATAATCCACAAGTTTGGACCTTTTGTCTGCGATACCTATACAGCTCATCAATCCAAGAGAGGTAATTATAATTAAAATTAGTTCTTCTCAATTAATAGTAATAGGGATTTTTTTCTTACTGTTACAGTAATAGGAATTTAAATTTATTGGCTTTTTATATTATTTTATCTTTTATTGCTAAAAAAAGGCAAGATGTATAATTGAAAAGGTCATTAAAATAACTAGTTAAAATATCGTATTTTTTGGAGTATAAGGTGCACCAGAGTATAAGACGCACCAAGGTTTTGAAGAGGCAAATTTTAAAAAAAAGCTGTTGCACTCTGCAGACCTCCCAAAAACGGCCTGTTTTTCATGAAAATGGGCCTGGTATTCCCCCCCCCCCCCAAAAGAAAGGAACAAATAACCTTTAGGATGCTTGT